GCATGATCTCACTCATATATGGAAACTAAAAAAGTTGAACTCAACAGAATTGGAGAGTAAAATAGTTGCAAGAAGCTAGTGGGGGCGGGTGGGAGAGGTGGATGGGGAAAGGGGAAATACTGATCAAAGGAAACAAAGTTTCAGTTGAATAGGAGGCATAAATTCTGGTGATCTATTGTACAGAATGGTGACAATAGGAATAATGTATATTTCAAAACAGATAAGAGGATTTTAAATGTTCTCAACACAAAGAAATGATAAATATTTGAGGTATGGATATGCTAATTAGCCTGATTTGATCATTCCACAATGGATTCATTTCTCAAAACACCATGGTACTCCACAAATATATATAATTATTTGCCAATTAAAAATAAAATAAATGAATTAAAGACTCGTAACTCCCACCAAGACCCACAAAGCCTCCCCAAAGCAATTCCAGAAACTAGATCTTCACATAATCATCCAAGCATTAAATTTTTAGTGATATCCCTTGGGCTGTTATTCCAGCAAATAGATTAATGAGTTTTGATGCAAAATACTTCAGTGGAAACTAACACTTTGTCCATTGAGAGAGTTCTGTTGATTACTTGGGATGAAAAAAACTCACCAGGTTTATTCGCTATTCAGGTTTTATTACGATTCTTAGCAGCTGTCATCTAAAAGACAATAACCTAAGTAATTTGAATTGTCCCCCTGCTTTTTTTGTGCATATCCTTCTTTCTCAGTCCCTATCTGTGCGCAGATCCTTTCCCTACCCCAAACGACAACTATTTTATTTCCCACGAATGAAGAACATGTTTCAGTTGCTTACTAATAACCTGTTTATTCTTTGCCTTTTAAACTAGACTAGCTGCTATAGGTATTATTAGTCCAATAGCTGATTTTCATATCAAGGGCATGAGGGGCTACTAGATCTCAAACTGCCCTCTGAGTCAAAGATTTAATAATGTTTAGTACTGGCTAAATATACATTAGAGATACTAATTTTTATTAAATTTGGAACATATGTTTGATAAAGATAACTTGCTTCTTCACCAGAATATACATCTGAATTAAGTCATCCACTGGCTCAGTTGTGCCACATACACAGACATGTATGGATGGATTTGTCCAATAAACCATGAGATGGGGAAGACAAACTAAAACTCCCATACTGTACAAAGGTATTAATCACACATAGCACATGTGATCTCAAAAAGCCAATAATGACAATGTTCTCCCAGAGTAACTTAATTTAAGCATACCAGCTATTAAACTTTGGTTTGGGCACCACCTAATGGCAGAAAATGTTTCATAAAAATCCTACTTTGCTTCCTGGGCCTTGTTGATGTTTATATTTTAATAGCTTATATTGATTTAGAAAATGTCTGCACTTCCTTTACCTAGGTTAATTGCTTAAAGTGTTCAGTTTTCTTTACACAACTACTTTGAAATAATAAACTTTTACAGTGGGAAAATATACCAATGAAATGAAAACTCTAAAAAATTTGATTCTATCCTTACTTAAATTTAGCTTCATAATTAAGAAACACATTTAAATTGAATCATTCTAAATACCTAAAAGTTCTCAAACTCTTCTGCACCATATCTTTTATAATAACCTGTCACAAAGAAAATAGTATATATTTCTGAAAACATAGTGCTTACAGAATTAATTTAACATATCAAATTAGCTGCTAAATGGATGAGGTTGGAGAAAATTATGTTAAGTGAAATGAGCCAGACGGGAAGAGAAATACTACATGTCCTCATTCATAAGTGTGAGCTAAAATAAAAGAAAGGAAGAAAGAAAACAATAATACGCTGAACTTTCAGGAGAGAACAGAACTGTGATTACTAGAGGTAGGAAAGGGGGAGGCAGAAAGGGGTCAGTGAGAAATTGGTTAACAGACACTAAGAATGATTACGTTTTGTAATGATGAATATACTAATATGCTAATTACTGATTTGATCATCATACATAGTGATTTGATCAATACACAGGTATGTATATTCAACCCTGTACCCCCAAAATATGTATAATCAATTGTTTTAATGAAAAAAAATTTTGCTGCTAAAGCCAATTCTGGATGCATACATAGTGATATGCACACCTTTACTATCATACACATTTAATTTTTTTCAAGAGGTCCTTGCCTAAACATAACGTTCATTTTATGATTCAACAAAGGGACAAAATATTTGGGGTAATACAGATCAGATAACCAATGTTTTAAGAAAAGATATTTATTATTTACAACACTGAAATAGTCCCATAAGAACAATATACACCATGTTTATCTAAAAGGATCGATTCCTTTCATATACAAGAACTGTATAAAGCAATACTGTCAACACAAAACAGTGGTCACATTACATATCTGCAGGCGTAAGCATTGCAAATAATATATTTTTTTAATCTTATGGCTAGATAATTTCACTGAAACACAGTGTTAAGCACTTAGACAAGATATAGTCAGAAGAAAACAAAAACTTTTTGTTCGTGCTTTTTAGGGCTGAATCAGTGATATGTCCCATTTTAAAATTTATTGCCTTAACTGCTTTGATGACAATGGTTTTAGGCAGAAGTGCTTCTTAGCCACCAAATAGACACACTCTTGTTACTTAGTTTTATTCTTCAGTTTTATGTTTTCTATTTCTCATACTAGGACATAGCTGTATCACAACTGACATTTTCCAGTTTTACTTAAAGAACACTGACACACATATAGACCAAACTGAGACAGCTCAGAATTTAGAGACGTAACTAGTGAAGTACAGAAGAAAAATTATATCTATGACAAAGGAATAAAAAAAATCTTGGTAATTTTAAGCATAACAAACTAGGTTCTTTATTCAAAAACTTGTTTTTGGTTGGTTTTTTTTTTTTGGTTTTAAAGGGAAAAGCACTAGTTTCAAGACAGGTTTGGTCTTAGATTTAGTCAGACATAACATAATGAGACAAAAACACAAGACATCTTGTCTTCAAAATCACAAAATGACACTGTTGAGTATACATTTTTGTCCACTTTTTTTTTTGTGGAAAGAAAACTTAGTAATCAATGCTGGAGAAAATATTTTTCAAGAGTAACAGTATATTCATATAGGGGAAAAAAGAATTTTTTTAGCATATTGCTATAATCTTCAAAAAATATAAAATTAAATTTACAAAAAACTGGAAGACCAAGTGTAAGCAGTCTGGTATTTGCTTCAGTGTCCAGCACTATAATAACAATTTCTAGCATAAAAGCACGAAGTTCATGGATCTCAAGTATCTCCAATAACTGCCAGTATAACCTGTAACTACTGTCCTTGCTTCTTTGAAAGATACCTGCAAGAAATAAAAATGTCAAAGTTGTATCACGCTAAATTCATAAAAATTATCTAACTCTCCTCCCGAAGGAGTTTATTTTAACGAGAAAACTTTTCAAGATAAGTATTGTTAATAATTGCTGGTATCTATTGATTGTTTATGTGCCAAGCACTGTTCTACATACACATATTAATTCATTTAGTCCTTACAACAGCTACCTGAGAGTTTCTATTAGAAATTATCCCTATTTTACAGGCACAAAGAGGTTAAGCAATTTTGCCACATTAATACAGCTAGGAAGTGGCAGAGCCCGGATTCAAAACAAAGCTCCAGAGTTCACAATCATTAACTTATCCCTGCATACTGCCTTACTTCCAATGTGAAAGTCAGTATATTAACTAGTGTAATTTCTAAATATAACTCAAATTCCGTTTACAGATCTTATTTTTCTTGCATAAAGACAGTGGGCCAGGAAGTGCACTTTCAGTTTCCTCTAGAGGCTGCATTTCTCCAGTATGCAAACTGTTATCAACAAAAAACTCTTTCTCCTATTGAAAAAAAAAGATAGTGGGCCAATGATCCTAAAGGACTCTGATCAAGAGTGTAAAACACGCAAAATTGTTAATTTACTAAGCAAACCAATTTTTCTTCATATTATATAATAGAAATCTACCACTAAATTAAAATTTTTACATCTCTGTTTCTCACATTTACAAACTACTATAATTGGTGTGGGAGTAGAGAAAGAGTTCTTAAAATCAGGAAACTTGGACAAGTTGTTATGGTGGAACTTGCTCGCTTTGTGGCACTGAACTATGCATTTGTTATCCATGACTCCATTACATCATCTGCAATTTGAAAATGGAGATAATAATGTCTGGTTTATCCTAATAGGATTATGAGACTCTAATAAGAAGCTACGTGTCAAAGTGATCTGGAAAGGCAAAAGTGGAATTTGAGAAGCCAAAGTGTTGTTATTATGCAAATGGTTTCTTTTGGTGCTGTAGTACTATAATCATATCTTTAAAAATCAAATTCCAAATCAATCACTTGTAATAAAGAGTAATCCCTTTCACATCTCTAGAGGTTTTTCCCTGCCTCAAAATCTTCATGTTTATATGCAATCTATACCAAGATTTGTGCTTAGAAAAAAGACTGGAAGACTATATACCAAGATGGTAACTGTGGTTATCTTGGTAAAGAAAATCATGACTGTTTTTTCAGTGGAATAAAGTTTTCTAATATTTCTGCTATACACAGAAGTTACTTGTTAATTTTCAACACTATTTAGGAGATTTTTTAATGTATTTTATTTCACCCTGACATTATTTTACAGTGTGATATAGGGATTACATTACCATGTGATTCATAAAGGAGTGGCCTACCTAATGTCACAAAATAATTTATAGGTAGCATCATAAACATGTACCAGTCTCTCAAGTCCTCTCTACTAGAAGTATTAAAGAGCTTACAAGATGTGGGTTTACGAACAAGTTGGAGGTTAAAACAAAAGGGAAAAATACCTTCAAGGACTATGTCACTACACTAGAAAATATTTTTAGAATTCACCCATTTTAAATAAAAATTAAAAGTCATGTATATACTGGGGTCACCAGAAAAATTTTTTATTCATTGCTGTAAAGAGGAAATGAATAGCAATTAGCACTTACCTTTCCCAATATTTGTGATTTAGATCCAAAAAGTCATCTAATTTTGCTATTTCCTTGAGGTACTGAGTTAATTTTAAAAGTTCCTTGTCTTTATCCCGGTTTAGATGTGCTTTCATAAAAGGCCTTATCTATGAGGAAAAAAATATTACTCAATACTTCACAAATAAGAAAAATTAACACAAATTTACACTATTCCATCATTTGAATTAGAGTTAATGAGGCTAAAATATCTCCAAGGACACAAATACTAAAAATCACTTTTACACTGGGCTAAGTTTAACAAATAGAAAGTCATGTAAAATGTTTACAATACAAATTAAAAGCTCTTCCTGTTTTACCTAACATTACCTTTTCAGTTTTAGCCTGGCAAATCACCAACTTTCTTTCAGCACTTGAACCCCTATGTGGCTACTCCACTCTGCAACACTACTTAGACTTTTCCTCCTCCTATCATTGTATTTCCTTCTTACTAATTAATTTCATTCACTTTATTTCACTCACAAAAAGTGAATTCACAAGCTGGATCTAACAGGGGAGTGAGATAAATTCTAACACTAATAATTTTCATTTCCATATTTTTCTATGAAATTTTTATAGAGCTGAGACATTGCTATACATTTATATAACCTGTTCTCTCCCACTTTTTATCATAAGCAGTTTTCTTTATCATTAAATTCCCTGTAAAAATCATTTTTTAATTAAGAGTTTCCCATAAAGTCATATTTTCCAAATTTTTAAGGTTGATATATTTTATGATGAAAACCATTCATTCAAAAAGCATCACTTCAAACTACAAAGGTCAAAATAGTAGACAGTGAGGGGGGATTGCAATTACCAAAGAATATTATATCTTGATTGGGGTGGTAGTTACATGAGTTAACTTTACAGCAATTTGTTAAACTATAAATGTTATGCATTTTTCTTTATGTTATAGCTCCAAAAGTGTTTTGCTTTTTTTTTTAAAGACATCAGCTCAAATAGTTTTATATAATTCAAGATAGCCTTTCAAAAATTTTAAATTAATTTTAGATAAAATGATATGTCTTGGATTTGCTTCAAAATATCAAAAAGGGGGAAGTAGATAGGGTATAGAACATAATCATCCATGAATTAATAAGTTGTGTGAATTGAATGATACATACCTGGGGGCTGATTATACAATTCTATGTAGTTCAGTTTATATTCTAATTTTTCTGTCACGAGTAGTCTTTTTTTAAAAAAAAAAATCACACATACTCCTAAAGCACATGTGTAAGGACTGAATAATTCATACTTAGCAACATATTAATATACCCTTATTTGGATTTGGAGAAAATTTAAGTTGGCCATCAGTTATTAATTTTACAGAGTAACATTGAAAAATGGATGATATTTAATCATTGTCACTCACTGAGAAGCAAGAGCAATGAGCCAAAAGAAGTCCGCTACCATATCTATAAAGAGTACAGAAGACTTTAAATATATATTTTTATATATAATTATCCCTCAGTATCCATGGGGGATTGGGTCCAGGAGCCCCCACCCCCCCAGATACCAAAATTCACAGATGCTCAAGTCCCTTGCGTAAAGTGGTATAGTATTTGCAAATAACCTACTCATATCCTCCCATATTCTTTAAGTCATCTCTAGATTACTTATAATACCTACTACAATGTAAATGGTACGTAAATAATTATTACACTGTATTTCTTATTTGTAATTTTTTTTATTGTTGTATCGTTATTTTTATTGTTTTTGTCTTTGAATATTTTCGATCCATAGTTGGTTGAATCCACGGATGCTGAACCTAAGAATACAAAGGACCAACTGTGTTTTTCTTCTGTCATTGGAAAAACACACCACCAGCCTCAAATGGAGAGAAGAAAATCTTCCCAGATGTTCTACTTTTCATCAGAACAAGTTGGTGCCAGAGACCTCCAAAACTGTTAACTGGGCTCCCGTGTTGCTTTAAGGGTACCAATAAGAGCTGCCAGAGTGAGTCTGCTCAGAAACCAGCACTTGCAGGAGATCCCACTTCCAGACAGGTAGTGCAGGCAGTGATGTTTCACAACAGCAGTAGTGAATGTGGGGGATCAAGAAGCTGCTCTACAGGGTCTTGCTTAAGCCCTGGGGCTGGCAGTAAACAGAGGCATGATATGATTATGTAGTAAAATGAATTTCTGCATAATACTGGGCAAAATGGTAATGTTTTAAAGTATTTCTTCATTCAAGTCCTAGAGATTTTAAAGGTAACATATTAACTTTTAAACTATTAATATACAATGTACCAAAGCGATTCCAGCTTAAACAGCAGGAAGAGATTTAGAACTGAAAAACAAAGTACAGGATGAGTGGTTGACAAATAAGATTTTCAATCCAAGGTCCTACTAAGTTATTTCTACTTTCCAAAAGTATTTGGTCTTAAGCACTATTAAACAACGAAACTAAAATATTCCAATGATTCTGGTTCTAAAAGTTAAAATAAACTAATTAAGGGCAAAAAATATAATATTCACCTAATTGACTTCATTTTTGTTCCAGTATAATTAATTGTTCACTGTACCATTTTTCAAAATTGATTTAAGTGCTCACTAGCAGGGCAAGCAACATATGTGAGCATTAGCTCATTTTCTTATATCAAAGAAAACATTTTTAGAAACTTAAGATTGTCTGGATTAGCTGAATTCTCTCATACCCCTGTTTCTTTGTACAGACAATGAAAATGAAATTTTCAGAACATCAGCTCCTTTATTTTATGCATGACCAATATTCATATGCTTTTAGTTTAATACTATATTGATATTCACAATGCCTTCCATATATTTCAAACCTTAAGACTGGCAAGCTTGGCTGTTACTCACTTCTTGGGGCCAGCTCACACTTTGTCTGAGGTGTGTATTTAAAGAGAAAAAAAAAAAAAAAAAGACGGAAGCTTATGTTATTAGAAGTTAACTATTTTTAAAATGAGCAATCTTATTTTTAAGATCTGCATGAAATCTTTTTTGAGATTTTTACCAAGTGCATTATGAAGCTGTGATAACAAAACACAGTATTTAAGAATATTTCTCAATTTCAGAAGTGCTTCTAAGCCAATGTGAACAGATCATTAATAATCATCTTAAAAGAGATTTTCAAATGGAGACATACAAGAGATCACCTTTAAATGACCTTGGAATGCTTTAAAATACTTCCTGAATTAGAATTTTGGGGGGTGGGACATAGGTATTTAGGAATTCCTTTATTGAGTCTACTGAGTACCCCCAGTTTTTTAAAAACCCTGCTGTAAAGTAATATGAAGAACTAAAAATTAATAATAGCATTTCTCCCTCTATCAAGACAGGAGCAGGGCACAAATGTTGGTTGGGACATTAAGGTTTCTTCTAAACACACATGAAACTAATGACTGAGTTTTTTAAAAAGCTAAAGGTTTCCTCAAAAATCATTCCTTGAACATCATGACCTCACTTCCTTACAAGGACACGTGATACCCATTAGTTTCATAGAAAATTAGGTTTACATCAATCAAATCTCTTCTCAAGATTCAGAAATACATTTTGTACCTTAAACTTTATGAACTACATACAGGAAAAGCACTTCTCCCGAACCCTCAAACAGAAAGCATTTTAAGGGTAACATAACCACTTTTCTCCCAAGTCAACAGCTTTTATATTTGTGGCAATTCACTACCTAGATTAGCATTCTGTCCCTAAAACTATCTTTATTGTACAGTAAAAGCCATATCAACAGTGTACAAGGAATGCTTCAAAAATGTACTTTAGGTTTTTCTCTCTTTTCTTTTAAAACTACCAAGAATCCAGCTGGCAGAAAGTCCAGGACTGAGAATAAAATTATCTTAGTGTCAGGATTTCCACTTCAAATGGAGACTACATTTGCATATCATAATATAGAGCAATCTTTTCCACCTTCATATTGTGCCAACATATAAGCAACCATGGGTGCCAGAAATTTTTAAATTTCAAATTTCTCTCTTACCAATTTTATTCTGCTTCCAGGATTAAATTTCACTATCACATCTACACAAGATTGTATGCAACTGCATGCTAAGATCATCACTGACCTAGGATCTAAGTCAATTAGATCCTAACCCAAATTCTGTCATTAACCAGTTACATACAAGAGAGTCTCCAAAAAGTTCATTTTTCATTTGTATTATCTTTTAATTCTGTTTCTTCACAAACTTTCTGAAGTACCTTTGTATATGATCTTGGGCAAGTCATAAACTTTCTCATCCTTAGGTTGTTTCTAAAGTTAAGAAGATAGACAAGATGACTGTGGTTCCTTCTAGCTCTGGCATTTTAAAATTCTAAGATCTGCACTTGCCCTGTATGAATTTTCAAAAACCTCTTTAGTTTCAGCTCAAAAAGGAGAGGGAAAAAAAAGTACCCTTACTGCCAGCTCTCCAGCTAACCAGAACATCAGAAATTCCAAGATTTGTATACCTAATAAAACGCCTGACAATTTAACTTTTGATATCAATGTCAGTAAGGCCATGTTGTTCCCACAGAACTAATTAAAAAGACAACACTTGGATGAGTTGGCTATCTAAGGAGCTATCGATGCAAAAGACAGAATGTTCAATTTTATATGAATTTTTCTAAATACTTAAACTTTTCTTACCTGTGACCATAAGAATTGTCCTTCCAAAAATTTATGAAATTCAACAGTGCTTAAAGTTGTACCACATAGTCCAGATTACATGAGCATACAGCACGTAAAATTTTGTCTTACCTTTAATCCATTCTGTGGGTTCATTAGAAAATTTCTTCCTATGTCATCAAACATAATGGTGTTTTTTTTGCTGTAAAACTCTGAAAACTTTCCCCATATAACACCAAGAGGCTTTACCTTAGAATAAAAGTTTAGAATTAACTCAAAGTTTATCAATAGTTCATCCTTTCTTAAAATCAGACATATTGCAAAATACCCTACAGAACAATGCCAAGAGTATTCCTTTCCCCTATAAGACAGTGAAGGCTGGCTGTGTGCGCCAATCATAAGTCCAACACACTTGAAACCACGATATATCTCGCAATGTTCAAACTTCTAAAAGATCTGTTTATGTCTAACTGAATTAAACCCATTATAAGACTTCCCATAATTTTAACATAAAGTTTTTGGGGTCAAAAGTAGTGATTTAATTTTAAAAGGATCAAAAGTAACTGTTCAGATGTCTGTCAAGCAGTCACATGATGTCCTGGACTAATGCATGTCCTCTCAGAGCCTGGGAGTTACATGGAGTCTGTTTCCAAAACTTGAATACCTTAGTGAGGGAAAATGTACCTGGCTCTTTTAGTTGATAATTTAAATATTTTATGGGTGCATAATTTCTCAGTTATTTGAGTGCTTAACTTCAAAAGCATCATAATTTGTAAATTCTTGCTCTTATTTCTGAATTCTTAATCTGAGGCTTCAATTTGCAGTAAGTCTCTATAAGACCATGCAAGAAATAATAGTGACTGCCTATAGGGAGAATGAGTGGCTGGAGAGCCCAGGTACAAGGAAGACTTTTCATTAAGTATTTCAACTTTACTTTTGAATCATATGGATGTATGACATATTCAGAAAGTTCTTAAATAAGTTAATTTTTAGAAGATACTTACTCTTTATTGAAGGCAGGAATCTCATTTATGGTAATATGAGATTTTTATGGTAATATGAGATTATATAGTAATAATAATTATGAGATTAAATGGTAATAAATCATGACAAAAGTGATTAAAATATTATTTTTCTCCTTCTATAACTTAATTTAATATGAAGAAAGCTTTTTCCTTCCTAGTATCCTATCTACTGCAAAGAATGTTACTGAAATATGTTAATTTTATAATTTTATTTGCCTGATTTTTTTTTCACTATTTGTTTACTACTGAAATAAAACCCCTAAATACTCAAAGACATATATATATTCTTATATTTATATATATATATATATTTAATATATCTTATATATATTATATCTATCTATATTATATATAATATATCTATATCTCTCTCTCTCTCTCTATATATATATATATATAAATATAAGAATTGACATAGTAAGCCAGATTCTTGGGGTTTGTTTTAGCTAACAAAAGCCTCAAAAAATGTACAAAAGAAGTCAGTCTTTATGACACCCAGAGTTGGAAATCCTCTTAAAAAGTGCTATCATTTGGTAATTAGGTCAAGTGCCATTTGTTCCCCAAAACATGGACTACTTTGTTTTCAGTTAGAAAAGTAATATTGCTGACCACAGAAAAATCTGAAAATACAGAAAAGGAAAAAATTTAAATCACCTGTAATCCAGTCAGTACCAAGGATAACAACTAGATATTCTGATGTATTTACGTTCAGCCTTCTATATAAATAGCAGCAGCCTCAGGGAATTCACAAATGTTTGTTAAGCTAAGGGGAATCCTAAACCAAACAAAGGTTATGAACTATTTTCTATGGCTTGAAAACACTGCTGTCTAAAATACGTTACTGCTCTCCAAAATACTTTTACTTTAATGTGTCATGAAAAATTTTAAATCATTAAATATTCTACTATACCAAATAACTAGCTGCATCCTATTACTGTAGATAACAACAGTTTACATGGCCAATTCCTTAATGCTCGATACTGAGGATTACTTTTACTCCTTTAATTTTTCACTATTATAAACACTGTTATGTTTAACATTTCCCAAACTTCTTTATAAAGTTTAGGTTTTGGAAATGTATTATTTTACTTTAGAAGGTAATCAATTATATTTTCCCTCTGATGTATACAATATTTCCTTTATTGAGCAAGTTCCCATGCATTTAAACCATTCTATTTATAATTTTGATTATTTTAATAATGTCTCTCCTAAGTCTTCCTAGTATCCTAAGTTCTCCCCAATTTCTATTAATTTTGTGTGCTTTCAAAAGGCATGGACCATGTCTCATTCATTTCTTTATTCCCACTATCACAGGGCCTTGCAGATAGTACGTACTCAATAACATGAGTAGTTATTTGATAAGTAAACAAAGTGAAGAACTCTATTTTTAGACCAACCCTTTTCTCTGATGGTTTTTATTGCTATTTTCAAGGACTACACATACATCACCCCAAACTACATGCATCATGATGCATCTGTTTTTATTACCAGTTTCATATAGGGCAGGGTGAGAATATTTTGGTTTGTTTCTAGTACCTTCCTTGATGATATTCAGTATTTGTCTCACCTACTCTATCCAGCAACACTGTGCTATCATCATCAGAGTACATTATCCATCATCGCAAGTTTCTTTCTTGACATTCCTGCTTTGAGATCCTTAATTTTATCACTAAAATTTAAGTCTTTTAACCTTAAACACATTTTTCTGTGTCAAAACTCAACTGCTGCTTTGCTATCCACTCAGAAGAATTTCTAAACTCCTGTAATTTATTTCATCAGTATAAATACAAAAAGTATAGTAGAAAATAAACACAACTTTAAATATTAGTAAAATAACTTCTTACATCTATTAATCCTCTCCTTGGAGTATGCACTGTTATCATTGCAGCACTGTCCAACATGAAGGTAATCTTATAATTTGCATTTGTGCTCACTCCCAGTTCCTACAAACACAAATAATCATGAGGTTAAAATATAATAATGTGGAAAATTCTAGGTTTTGTGAATATTCCAGCTGCAATTTCCCATAATGCCAACTTTACCCCACTGGCTGCCACATCTTGCTAAACAACTACCAAGTACTTTAGCTCACAATAAATGGTAATCCAAGGAAAATAAACTAGATTCATCATTTTAGAAGAGCAGGATCTATTTAAGTATTATACACCAGAGCAAAAGAAAGAAAAAAAAGTATTATTGTAAAAAGAGGGAGAAAAAGGGGGTAGGAACTTAGCTGTACTTTTTCTTGAAAAAAAGACTTTAGCACTCAGTACAATCACCCATTAAACATACTGTAAACATACCTCTACTCCTGATACAGGCATTTATCTATCTATTAAATGCCCTCCAATAAGAATGAAATTAAGTCAGTTCCAGAACTTTTAACGAGACAAATGCAGTATCAAAAAATTTTTCAATGAATTGTTTTCTAACACTTACTTTCATTTTAGCTTCAATCCACTTCATATTTGTTGCAGCTAAAACATGAGGAATGATAATACAATATATATGAAAAGTTTGAATTTCATTTAGAAATATCTTTCTTCTGTATAAATAAGTTTTCTAAGCATCACAAATAATAGTCCTTAGCACATTTATTGTAATTTTCTTTTAAATATTTATATAAATAAACTTATTTTGGTGTTTAAACAAAACACAATCAAATTTATTATTATTATTATTTTTGGCAGCTGGCTGGCTAGCATGGAGAACCGAACTCTTGACCTAGGTGTTAGAAGGCTACACTCTAACCAACTGAGCTAACTGGCCAGCCCTAGCATAAAATCTAAACAACTATTATCTATGAGACACAGGTAAGCAATGCTCAAAAGTACTTTGAACCTAGCAAATTTATAAATCAAAACCCAAACTCCTTTTAAAAACAGCCCTACCACTACTCTATCAATTCCAAACTTAAATTCAGGGTGCCTAGATCTCAACTTTCTTCCATGTTGCTACTTCCAGGCAATGCACGGGTATATATAGCATGTCAATATAAGCATATTAATGCTACGTGTCAAAAGTTTAGGTTGAAGACTTGCTAAAGCCAATGAAAATTTGCATTTTGTCAGGCTCAGCAAACTTAATGCTCACTGAGTCTAGCAGCTTATAATAAGGAATCTGAGACAAATTCATAAAGTGTACCTATGTTATGTATCTGCTCACTGTCAGACAACCAGTTTTGGGATCACTGATACTAAAATTCAATCCTCACTTCTATGTGTTCTCCTACTCCTAAGTTTCTGGACTAAACTCTATAGGTATGTGTAACCAAGTCACATGCTTAAAAAGAGAAAAAGCAATTTAATTATGTAAAGTATGTGTATGTATTTTTATTTTATTTTATTTTTTGGCAGCTGGCCAGTATAGGGATCCTAACTCTTGACCTTGGTGTTTGTGTGTATTTTTCAAAAGCAAAAAAGGCACCTGAGAGGCCAGCCCGTGGCTCACTTGGTAGAGTGCGGTGCTGATAACACCAAGGCCACGGGTTCGGATCCTATATAGGGATGGCCGGTTTGCTCACTGGCTGAGCGTGGTGCTGACAACACCAAACCAAGGGTTGAGATCCCCTTACCGGTCATCTTTAAAAAAAAAAAAAAAGGCACCTGAGTTCCCAAAATAAAAATCTTTAGCACACACACATGAAAAGCAAAACAATAACCTTAAATGCAAAACTGGTCAGTTGAACTTAAATTTTAGAGACTGTTGTATCTGTGATAAAAACAGTCATAAACTAGGGAAAAATGATTTTTAATTCAGTACCTCTTTTGTGCCTATAATTCTCAGATGAAAAACAAAAAGACTCACAACTAATAAAAATAAAAATAGTTTCTAATTATTAAGGGGCCGGCCCGTGGCTCACTCGGTAGAGTGCGGTGCTGATAATTATTAAATAGTTATTATAGGTCAGATATGGTACTAGTTGATATACTAATATTTCTATTCTTACAACTAACCTGTAATATAGGTTTAGTTATCTTCACTTCTCAGGTAAGAAAACTAAGGCTCAGAAAAATTAAGTGACCTGTCAAATATCATATATTAAGGACAGAGCCAGAATTAAAACCCTAGTCTAGTTAGCTCCAAACTGAAGTGCACTTTTCAGTGTACTACCATTCACAAAAATAACTTAAATATATGATTGTAAAAGGTTCTCTAAATTTCTAAGTCTCGTTTAATAACATTTAGAGGATAAACCTTTCTCTCAAATGTCATCTTAAGTAGGCTGGCTGGTTAGCTCAGTTGGTTAGAGTGCAGTATTGAAAACACCATGCTCAAGGGTTTGGATCCCCATACCAGCCAGCCAACCAGAAGGAGGAAAACAAAAGTCATCTCAGATGTTAGAGTTGCTGAACAAAAATTGTTTATGAGGAAGATCTCTTCCCCCTATTATTATTATTAAACCTGAAAATTATCATATTTTAACTATGTTTTTCATCTTAACATCTATGAACTTATTACTGAACAATGAAAATTCTGATTATAAAAAAAATGTACAAAGGAAATTTACATACTGCAACAACTATGTAGTTTCTCATCAAAGACAGTACAATTAAATATAGCATCTTTAATTCATTTTTTACTTAATTCACAATCAGGATAACTCTTCTCTGCTTATGACATTGCCAAGAAGCAATTTTAAATGTTTGTGGGAGATAGGATTTGGAGCAAAGCGTTGCTTCATTTTTTGAGAAAGACTTGCTACAAAAAAAAAAAAAAAAATTGCCAACTGAACTAAATAATGAGCTTAGTAATACAGTAGATTTACTTTCTGCAGCAAACTCATTATCACACAGAACTGTACGTTCTTGGAATGATGGATAGCCATAATTTGAGTAACACTGCTTTAGTCCATATATTAATTTTTCCTTAAGTAATTCATATTGCCTTCCTTTATTTCTGGAGAACTACATCACTGATTTTTTTTTAAACATATCTTTCTCCAAGTTTGAAACTGGAGTAAGAAAGAAAGGAGAAAGCAACAATATCCTGAAGCATTAAGGATTACACAGAAAAGATCAGAAGGAAAAATTTCTAATCAAGGTGCAGCAACTGGAAAAATAAAGCCATTTCTATGCTAACACCATAATCTACTCTTGTCCTATACTTAACTATCTCAGTGGTATTTGGCAAATGAATATATAAGTTTACACTGTGATGCCAGAAAGTCAAACATGCTCATTTTAGAAATTCGCTAAAAAAATGAAAACTGTTTAACATTTAAACACAGGTCATTTTAAGTCAAGTTTTATAGAGCAGAATAATGTACAGAACAACCTTACTTCCATGGAAATCTAAACAAAAAATGTAGCTTACACCAAATAACAATGTCATAATCCTCATATGCAGATGTCAGGAATTCATGAAGATATGGCCGCATTAATTCTACCCCAGTCTCTGCACAAGACCTATGGTCTAAAAGAAAATCGATCATAGATAATTATTAGTTTATTATCATGAACAAGTACCTAATATTAATGAAACTACTAGGAAATGTGATACAAACATTCACTTGCAAACTGCTTCAGACTGAATTACATCAGCTGACAAAAAGACACCTTTCAAAGCACTCAATTTAATATCATTGAAATCCAATTTTAATCAATCAACTTTGCTCAATGTGCTAAGAGCAATACTGAGAATTCAGGCTCATATAGTAAATTATAAATTTTTTTCTCATCTAGACTCTAAAGTTTAGATCTTATTTTATGATACTGAAAAACAAACTAGGTCTACCTATACTCACATTTAATCATCCACCTTGCAGATACAATCACATCTCATGAAAATGACAGACACAATTAACTCCATAATTTAAAAAAAAAGTACATTAACTTACGATACATATTTAAAGTTTAGAATTAGAGATAAATAAATTCTAATATATGGGGTTAATTATTTCTTGCCAATATTAGAGGATGAACACCTTTCTTTCTTGATTGAGATGAGAAATTTTAAATTCAAGAATCTGAATGTAATTAAACAGAAAACCTACTGCACAGAGGTAATGATATTAATTAAACTCTGTACCTCACAGATAAGTACAATCAACTATGTTACAATAAAAAATAATAATAATTAAACAAAAAACCAGGGATAAAATATAATCAAAAATGATCTTTAAAATATTCCTCATAAAAATTCTAATGTTAATTAATAGGGAAATAATTAAATTATGATGTGTCCACAAACTAGAATACTGTGTGGCCAAAAATATATATGAGAGTACTTCAAAAAGTTCATTGAAAAATAGAATTAAAAGATAACACGAATCTTTCCATAAACTTTTTGAAGTACCCCTGTATATGTATTTAATTCACAACAAATAATACTTAATGACTGAGAAGATGTTCAATCTATCATTAAGTAAAAGAAAAAAAAGGAACTATATATAAACACACTCTAGAATATACACTCCAAAATACTGAGTGGTTTTCTTTGGGTCTTAGAATTACAGATAACTTTTTTGTTTATCTGTATTTTCTACAATGAATGATTTACTTTTAGAATGATAAAAAAAAGCTTTCAAATATTTCATGTGAATCCTGAGTGGATGAGAAAAAAAAACAAACAAAAGAAAAACTTGTTGTAGGTGACAGAAGATGAAGAGCATTATTAACTGACTTACCAAACAATGTGTAATCAACATCTAGTACCAAAAGCTTTTTCCCTTCCCTGGGAGGATTCAAAATTTCCACTTTGTACTCTTTTACTCTGCGAGAAATTTTCAGTAGGTTTTCTTCCCTAATGGAAAAAGTAAAATCAGATGAAACATTTACTTTTTCTCACATTACAATCAATTTCTTCTAAAATGAAAAGCACTTACCTATTCTCTACTTCAACTACTTCATCTTCAATATCAAAGTCGTTGACAACATCATCATTGTCAGGTGGTGGACCTAAGACATCTTCCTATTAAGACGGAAAAAAGTTTTGTTTTACCATATGATCTTTAACATAACAAATACATGCATAGCATAAAAATCAAATGAGAGGCACAAGTTGAGTTTAATCTTTCAAGCACACAATGTGGAAAAATTTCCACAATTGATAATTTGTTATATATGTCCCTGGGGCACATTTACCATATTAAATTTGACCAGTTGGGCTACTTCTATACTTACAGCTAACTATATACTAAAAAGTTCCCCAGTATTTATTTTTGTTGATATTAATACCATGTTCACTGTGCAGCTTTTACTTTCATTAACTGCTAGACTGACAATTTTACCACAATTAAACTATAATACAACAGTGTAGTAAAAATCATAATATCTTCAAAGAGACAAATGGTAACAAAAGTAAACATTTACCAAGCTCTCCTCACGAGTTCCCATCATCATGATTTTAGTATTTGGTTTCAGTTTGAGAGCTCCAAGCTTAACATCATTTTCTGCAGGTTTGCCTACAATACAAGCAAATGACTGTTTTCTCACTAAAGTTCAGGTGCTGGTTTCACTATTCCATTATACAAAACCCTAACATTAAAAGGTTTGGTACAGAGACCACAACAGTTTTTGTCTTTTGGGGTTTTTTTCCCCTTACATTAATAAATTATTGTTACTGCTGAACTAGTCATATCTAAGACACTAAGAACTAATACAAGGTTTTTCTCCCCAATTCCATCTTTATTCAACTAACTAAACAAAATAAACTGCTTTATTTTGTTGTTCAAGATGAAGACAACTGTTTTCCAGGAAGGCTTGGAAATTAAGTGTCTACGATAAAACTGTAAATTTACTGTTACGCAAAATTCACCCTTCGATGATATGACAAATACAAACATAAAAATCCCCTTTAAACTAGATATCAACACTGCCTATAATTTTTAAATATTACCTTTACTTTTGAAAGAGAAAAGATAGTTTGAAGAGTGTACAAGGTCCAAGTTGTAATAAAAATGCTGTCAGTTGTCAGAAAATAAATAACAGTTTTTACCTGGGACTTCTGTGTCAATGATTTAAAAAGCAAACACCAACTGCCAGAGGAATCAAAAGGAATCTTTAACACTGGTGGTATTTTCAAATAACCTTTAATATTCTTACTTTTACCAATAAAACATTTTTAGGAATATCCCTATCAAAGAAATCTTCAAAGGGAAAGACAAAGAAAACAACAGATAACAGCATACATAAAAATTCATAAATATTAATGCAAAAAGTTTGAAGTGACAGGAGAATTACCTTTAACTTTGAGTCCAAGTAACTTTTGGCGTTCTGGCAGTACTCCTGTAAGGGTCTTGAGAAACTGTTTGAGATCCAGCACAGTATCATCTTCAGAAAGTGTGGTCACTGAATACTCTTGTCCTCCCCACTTTACGATGATAGGGAGAGCCATTCTTGAAACATATAAGGAGGCAGCTTTCCTTCAGAAAAAATTACCTAGAAAGGAAGGCACATACAGAAGAACAAGTTAAAATAAATATATTGAGGCCAAACTTGTAACTTTAAGTTTTATAAGCATGTGCAGTTTGAGTCCTATCTTATAATCTGATGGTAGAGAAACAGGATTTTTTTCCTTGCAGAAGCGCTACCAGAACACCAAAAGTTAGCAGGACTCAAAGTTAAAATTCCCCCACTACTTCCTAATACTCTATCAGATTCTCCCTGTTGTTCAGCTGGAAAGGTGCAATGAACTACCTATCCCTCCCACTCTATTTTGTCAGGTTTATGGTACAAGCAAGTTCCTCTATGACAGACCATTCACATTCATTTCACATTTAAGAGGTAGTGTGGTGTAGTCATTAAGAGCACAAACTCTACATGGTACTGATAACACCAAGGCCAAGGATTAAAATCCCCTTACGTGCCAGCCACCAAAAAGACAAAAAAAAGGAGCATATACTCTAGAGCCAGAATACCTGGGTTCAGGTGCAAGCTCTCCTACTTATAAGCTTCTTGACTTTCAGAAGTTACTTGACTTTTAATGCCTAGGTTTCCTCATCTGTAAAATAGGGAATACTACCTACTTAGGATTCTTATGAGGATTAAATTAGTTAATATTTATGTCACACAGTAAACGCTATATAAATTAAGTATTGGTTAAATAATTTTTAACTGAAAGCTTATTATGTTCCAGATACTGTGCTAAATAGTAAAGAGCCATTACTTATTTCATATTTTACTAACGAAACAGGTTTTACACATACAATCTCATTTAACAAGGTTGTTTGATAAGTCTTCCATCTTTACAATTAAGGAAACAGGAGTTCTGAGAGGCTATGTAATCTGCTCATAAGCACATAGCTGGTAACAGAACAGGTCTTCTGACTAAAGCTCATGTTTCTTCCCCTACATCACAACTGTCTCTCTCAAATTGGGCCTACAGGAGTTAAGTCCATCAAAAAACAGGAAATATAAAATCCATAAAATCCACAGGTGCAGATCTAAGTACACAAAGATTATATAGCAGTTGCTACTACCACTGACAGTCAAATATAGGTCTCTTCCCCCATTAAGCTTCCTACTTTTCATAAACTCATTTCCCCCACAGGTCAGAGAACTGGATTTTCCCATCTCAAGGTATCGGTATTTCTAAATACTTTCACTTATTCAATGAAACATTTGACTGCACTCATCATCTAACAAAACCAACTGCAAAAGAAAAGGCAAATTTTAAATTGCAATATGCAAAAATAATTTGGAAACAAAGAGTCTTTTACAAACTTGCCTATTAGAAGAGGGCACCATAAATTCATATTCGTATATACTCATGTAAATATGAAAGACTTCGTATTTATATTTACTCTGTTATGTGACCTGTTCAACTGAAAATTTAAAGCAAGTATGTTAATTTAGGTCAATGTGTTCCATTTTATACAGAACTTGCTCTAACAAATGTTATGATCTTCAATAAAAAGCCAAATGGACCTTTTGAGTCAGACTGGAATATGGTTTAAACATTATTTTTCTCTTAAGAGGTGAGAATAAAAATGATTACTTACGAGAGCAAGGAATGCAACCAGAGCTAATAACAATATATGTAGCAATGGACAGAGCAGAGAGTTAAGTGAGATTACCTGAGTTCCAGGTGACTTTGGATAAGTCATGTCCCCTCTAGACCACTGGTTCACAAAGTGCGGTCCCTGGACCTACCAGCAGCATTGACCTTACTTGGTAACTTGTTAGAAATGTCATCGGGGTGGAGAGAAGGGACCTAGCAATTTGTGTTTTAACAAGCCCCATCTCCCCATCTCTGGTGCATGCTAAAATTTGAAAGCTACTACTCTAGGCTCTTCAATGTTTCCAGACTTAAAAAAAGAAATGTGCCAGGTGACATGGATTCTATGTGCTTAATAAAAGCAGCATATAAACGTTTTGAAGCACCTATGCCACAAGTGGGAATTCTAACTTGGCCAATTCTGTAAAAGACCAAGCATAACAAAACACCATAAAAATTTTTAAATGCATTAAATCTTTACACAGTTTTAAAAAGTTACTGAACCTCACTTCATCACTACTGAGATCATTCATACCAATTGAGCAGGACGATATAAATATGCGAGCTATTTTGTTTTCATATTTAACCTCTTTTCTCGCACAATTCTAATATTTTGTATCACTTCAGACCCCATATTTATAAAATGAAAAATTATGGGTGGGATGACAATCAAATCCAGACAAGCAAGCAAAGGGCATACCTTTTTGTTAAACCTAGAGTCAAGAAAAGGTATTTAGGTTGGAGTTCTTCTGCCTAACATACCGTGTTGACATTCTCTAGTCAATTCTTCAGTTCCTATCTCTGGGCCTCAGTCTTCTCAACCACAACCTAAGTCTTCTCAACCTCAGCCTTCTATTAATATTTACTGGTCAGGAATAGTGTTAAGGTATAACATCTGTGACAGCACTTTGTAAACTGTAAAGAGCCACACAAATGGTTGTGGTGATAGGATAGTAACAAGCTAAACAATTTAACTGAATTATCTTATTTAATCTTCACAGTCCGGAACAACTACTGCCCTCATTATACAGACTAGAAACCTGAAAAAGAAGTTAAACAACTTGCCCAAGACCACACAACTAAAAGTTGGCAAAGGTGGAAGTTTGAAAGTAGGGCAGCAAAAGTAACACGTTGGGAACGGGGAGAGGGGTTAACTTTTCAACAAGTGTAGCAAAAGGTAACTCTGAAATACTGTCGACTCCTGGCCAGGACAGCACATCAGCAGCAACTGCGAGGTGGTACAGAGGTGACAGCTGTGCGAGGTGACTGGTTGGTATAGGATGGCATACGGCAGGTTAGAGGTTCCAGAACCCAAGAGGGCCAGGGATGTCTTCAACAAGAAAGGTGAACGGAGAGATGGACACGCCCGAAAAGAGGGAGAAATATAGTTTGGGAGCGCAAAACCCACGGGGGCGCGTGCGGCCCTCGAAACAGGCAAGAAGGCCCGATAGGAGGGCGGCGGCCCCCGCGACTAGCGGGCCGGGGCCAGGGGCCTGGGCATCGGACTAGCACAGACGCGGCCCCCTCCAGCCACAGTGCAGGCCACGCCACGCGGGCAGCAGCGCCGCAGCCCCCCAGCCCGAATGGCGTCTCCACCGGCAGCTCGTCAGGGTGCCTCGCGTCCCCTCACCTGGAGCGCGGCGGAACAAGCGGCAGCAGACGCAGAAACCTGCCTTAGCAGATCCGAAGGCAAGCGGAAGTGGGGGGCGGGACCGGAACCGGCCGGTGAACCGGAAGTGGGTGGTTTGAAACGGAAACGTGCTGAGAACGGAATGGCAGGTTCCCTTGTTTCTCTTCGGGTGCTAATCCTAGATAGCCTGTGCCAGGGATCTCCACAGGACGACAAGAAAGGCAGGACTGTCCGAGACTGTAATTGCTGTGCAGGTGCTCACGGTCCCTGGGGGCGGCCGGCCCTCGCCTTTTCTGCGCATGCGCCGGCTGGTGGGCTCTGAGCGGCGTGGGTGCTTCGGCAGTGTGACGTCTCTTGTATTGTTTCGCTGAAGTCACAACCGGTTGGGGGCCGCTGCGCTGGCTTCCTCCGGTGTGTTGGCTCTTTGTGGCCAGTCACCACACACACAAAAAGAAAGTGCTTGGATAGATTGAAAGGTTTCATTTGAATAAAGGAACCGGACTCTGGGTAACTAGGAATGAATACAAAGGACTCATAGCAACTCAGAACTTCCAACAAGAAGAGAAAAATTAAACTTCTGCCTCCTGTTGCGTCCTGGAGCTTCTCTTCTGAAGCGTGGAGGATAATACACTTGTCCTTCACTTATGCGTCTCTACAGCAGCTAAAGATGCCTGGGAATCCCTCTGTAGACAGAGTGTCAGATTTAAGACGTTAAAAAATATATAGACCAGGGACTGGCCTGTGGCTCACTCGGGAGAGTGCGGTGCTGATAACACCAAGGCCACGGGTTCGGATCCCATATAGGGATGGCCGGTTGCTCACTGGGTGGGCGTGGTGCTGACAACCCCAAGTCAAGGGTTAAAAGGGTTAAGATCCCCTTACCGGTCATCTTTTAGGAAAAAAAAAAAAAAATATATATATATATATATATGACCTAATTTCACAAAATCAGATGACAAACTGCTGATAGCACTATGACCGAGTTTGGTTTGGAAGACGCAAGGGCATTCCTGCACCTGGGTCAGACATCTGCCACTACCCTGCTTTTATCTCCATCTCCCCCAGACCTGTTTATTTCCTTTTCTCTCAGGCTATCTTCTTCGTCTAGCAACTACCTTGTCTTGCCCAGCTTAGATGTGCTTTCCTCATAAAGCTCTCCCTCTCCTCCAAGTTGGAAGAAATCTGGAAGACAATCCTTTTTTTTTTTAAATTTCGTTCACTGTAGCACTTTGTTTCTCTCTTCAAATACCTACTCCTTTGCCTTTTCCTTGCCTGTAATTAGGGAGCAATAATCGTTAGAATCTGCCCCACAAGCTCTATGTCCGGAAGTTACTACCCTTCTCTATTCAGCATGCTTTCCCAAAATGACTTCTTAAAATCACCCCTCTCTTCAAATCGCAGACCTTCCAATTGACATCCTTGTGGCACATGACATTGTCCTGTATTTTGGCAAGTCCTTGTTCAAACCTCTAAATCTACAAGCTATATCTACTCATCCTCACTTTTGCTTCAGTTTCAACTGAGGCCCTTTGCTTATACCTGAAGCCAAGCCTTATTTATGCTTGTGCACTGGTTTCTTCCTTCACAGGACACTTTCTATAAATCAAGTATCTCCACTTGCTCTTAAGTTTTTAACCTCTTCGTACTGGCTCGTTCCCATCGATGATAATCATGGCACGGTACCTTGCATCCTAGCTGCCACCCTTTTCTTTCACAGATGGATATTTCAAAACACTGTTTACGGTTGTCTAAACAATGCAAACTAGTGTATTTCTTTGAGATATTATTTGTCTAGTAATAGTCTTTTCCACTATAAGTAGGTTTTGTAAGGAAAGCAATCATGTCTGATTTATTCACCATTATATTCTCAGAGCCTGCATGATGTTGGCTAAAGTAGGTACTCAATAAATATACCCTGAATGAATAAATAATGAATGTTAAGTAATAAAAGCATGTTGTGTAATAATACATATGCATGTAACAATACATATCAGTAAATAATTACAATTAGTATATGATTCGATGTACAGGTAAGTTCTAAAATGTCAAATGTTGACATAGCACCGTAGGAGGTACTTAGTACAGCAAACCCTTGAACAACACGGGTTTGAACTGTGAAGGTCCACTTATATGTGAAATTTTTTCAATAAATATATTGGAAAATTTTTGGTTAGGTGTGTCATTAACCAAACAGTTAAATGGCTATCCAGGTAGGCTATTAGTAGTTGTAGTGGATTGAGTTATGTCCCCCCAAAACTCAATGAAGCTTGAATTGTGTTCCCCAAGTTTTATGTATTAGAAACTTAGCTCCCATTGTGACTGTTAAGAGGGTGGGAAATCCTATTATGGTAATTGAAAGGTGGAGCCTTGAAGAGGTATTTGGATTGTAGGACCATGCATAGTAATTGTATCAAAAATGGTGGTCAGGGGCATGGTTCTGAGGACTTTAAAAGGAGAAGTCTGTCTTTCTCTCTTTCAGCTCTCTCTGCTGTGCCATCTTGCAATGTGAGACCCCTAGGTCACTGTCACCACCACCAGATGTGTTCCTTGAACTTAGGACTTCCCAGCCTCAGAAACTGTAAGCAATAAATTTTTTCTTTATAAATTACCCAGTTCCAAGTATTTTGTTATAAGCAACAGAAACAGACTAATACAGTAGTCATCATGGCCGACACCCAGTGGAAAGTTATATGCGGGTTTTGGAATGCAAGGGTGGGGGATGTCATCATCTCTCACCCCCCTTGTTCAAGGGTCAATTGTAAATATTTGTTAAAGAAATGAATGAAATTCTCTTTGAGGCGTCATAGAAGAGCTGATTTTCATCTTGTTTATATTTTTCTATATTATCTGGATTTTTCACAAAGATTTTTACATTTACTTTTTTCTTTTTTATATAAAAAATTTTTAAAAGCATTCTTTTTAATATTCAAATAGCATATGTATATCCTTACCACTGTTAACTTTTAGTGCCTATCCTTGCAAATCTTTTCTATACTTCATATGTATGTGTGTGCGTGTATAAATATATGTATATATATATACACACAAGTATATACACTCATATATATGTATATTTGACTTATGTGTGATTTTTTTAAAACGTTTTTTAAAAAATTATAGATTCACAGGAGTGAATGAATTCAAAAAGAGAAGTCATGTGTATCCTTTACCTAGTTTTTTCCAGTGATTACATTTTACATACTATAGTACAAAATCAAAACCAGGAAATTGACATTGGTATAATGTGTATGCATATGGTTCTTTGTTATTTTATCATGTGTAGATTCATGTGACCTCCACTACAATCAGCATCCACCCACATTCCTCCCATCATTCCTAATCCCTGGCCATCAACCTGTTTTCCACCTCTATAATTTTGTCATTTCCAGAATGTTAAATAAATGAAATCATACAGTATCAACCTTCTGAGATTGGCCTTTTAACTTGGCATAAGACCCTTGAGATCCATTCAAGCTATTATGTGTATCATAATAGCTGAGTGGGATTATGGCTGAGTGGGATTCCTTGGTATGGATTTACCATAATTTGTCTAACCATTCATCTATTGGACATTTTGGTTGTTTCCAGTTTTCAGCTTTTAGAAATAAAGTAGGGGTCTGGACAGTTAGTTCAGTTGGTTAGAGAATGGTGCTGATAACACCAAGGTCCAGAGTTTGATCCCTGTATGGGCCATCCACCAAAAAAAAAAGAAAGAAAGGGAGAAAGAAAGTAGATCATTTGTTTGTGATGTAATTGTTGATATCTTAAGGATTAACTTTGTCACTTATTCTTTTGTTTTCTGTTTATTCTTTCTGTTTTTGGTTGTCCTATATTTTTCCTGTCTTTCTGTTGGTTACTTGCAGTGTAATTTTAGAATGCCATTTTAATTTGTCTGTAGTGTTTTTGAGGGTATCTCTTTGTATAAATTTTTTTAGTGTATTTCTTTACATAAATTATTATAGTGGTTGTTTTAGGCATTACATTATATATACATAACTTATCAGTCTATTGGTGATGACATTGTACTAGTTCAAGTGAAGTGTGAAAACTGTACCTCCATTTAAGTCCCTTTACTCTCCCCAGTTTATAATTGTCTTAAATATTTCCTCTACGTGCATTGAGAACTACATCAAACAATGTTATAATGTTTGCTTCTAACAACAAAAGTTCTTAGTCTTTCTTCATTTGAGAATATCTTGATTTCCCCTTTATTGCTGAAGGATATTTTCACTGGATATAGAATTCTAGGCTCACAGTTCTTTTCTTTTGGCACTTGAAAAAGGTGCTACTCCCTTTTAGATGAGAAATTCGTTGTCATTTAAATTGCTTTTCCCCCATTCATAAGCTATTGTCTCTCTTTTGCTGCTTTCAAGACTTCTTTTGTCTTAAGTTTTTGGAAGTTTGACTATAGTGTGTCTTGGTGGGGATTTATTTGAGCTTATACTGTGTGGAATTCACTTAGCTTCTTTAACCTGTAGGTTTATGTCCTTTGCCACATTTGGGAAATTTTCAGACCTTATTTCTTTAAATACTGTTTGAGGTCTACCCTCTTTCTCCTCTCTTTCTGGGGCTCTGAAGGCACAAATGTTAGATATTTTGCTATAGCCTACAGGTGGCTGAACCTCCATTCATTTTTTTATTTTTCAGTCTATTTTCTCTATTTTTTCAGATTAGATAACTTCTATTGTTCTATATTCAGGCTCACTGATTCTTTCTTCGGTCACCTTCATTCTTCCACCAATTCTTTTAAAATTCTATCCATTGATTTTTTTAAATTTTGGATATTGTATTTTTTAGTTCTAAAATCTCCATTTGTTTTTTTCTTTATGTCTTCTATTTCTTTGCTGAGATTTTTTTAAAAAATTTTCAAGTATGTTCATAATTGCTCACTGAAGCATTTCCCCATGTGGCTGCTTTAAGAACCTTGTCTGATAATTCCAACAACTGTCTTATCTCCATATTGGCATTTGTTGATTGTCTTCTCTTTGTTTGGGTGGCTGGCCTGCACGGGAATCTGAACCCTTGACCTTGGTGTTATCTGCATCACACTCTCCCAAGTCAGCTACTGGCCAGCC